CGAGGGATAATCCACCTTATCGTCACGGCAAGAAGAAGCAGAAATAAGACCACTGTCGATGCGATCAGTATTGGTGATACGATGTTTCTACGACTGTCTAGGATTGATACAACAATTATAATTAAACAATAAAAGAACATTTGAATAGTGCTTACAAAATATAGAACACAAGCAATCAAAAATAAGATGTGCTCTAAGCGCTTGATACTGTATTAAACTAGTAAAATCATTGCAACGGTTTTAAATATATTATATTCTTTGTATAATTATATAAACATGAAGGTGTTACATTTTTGGGGTTAAATTGTAAACATGACTGATAAACGGATCGATGGAAAAGCCATTGACAGATAGATTCTTTTTTCTTTTTTATTTGACATCACTCTTGAACACGAGATACAATGCCAAACAACAAAGAAAAAGTATATAACCTTGTTTTCAGTTTCACAAAAAGCTACAAGACTGCTTAATATTTTACTTCGATTGAACAATATTTATGAAAAAACTAGTGAAAGTGTAGTTGAAAATGTCACTGCTTTGAAGATTTTGTAATATGTATGGCTGATATCAAGGTTATGTTTAAAGGAAGTAGACCATAATTATGAAGCCGAAGAGGGGAAACAATTTTTTCGCAAACAGAACTCTCAGTATAACCATTCACATGAGAGCTAGAAAAAGACCACCAGAAACTATGGATGCTTTAGACAAAATAATGCATCGTGAAATATAGATTAGGATATTTTGGGGAATGTGCAGATGAGGTTACAGTTTCTTTAAAAATGCAGGGTTCCTTTTAGTTTTGTGGTCCGAATCTAAACCAAATCAGTGCAAACATTATTCAAAGGAATCTATAAGCAAAACATCGATTATAACGTGCAATAAAAAGTGAATGATAAAAGTGTATCATTAGTTGTTAACTTACGGAATTTCCGTAATACGATAACTACGCATTGATCATTGATCACACACACGCACATGCACACACGCTCTCATTTCAGCATTCTTGTGGGGTTTTATGTGCGCTTCACATACCCCTTGTGAGGCATTTTTACTTTGTGGGGTATTTTTTCAGGACCCCACAGAGTAAAGTCTTTCAAATGACTGTATATTCGGTGTCCTATGCCCTGCGGGGCATTAGAAGTGGTACCCCATAAATGACTTTTTGTGAGCGTGTGCTAAAACTTGCACACTTTTTCATGGTAACATCGTAAGCACACCGCCGGGTTGTTATCGCCAGGTTGTACATACCCCACTAGTAGGGGACCACAAGGTATATCTGGAACGCACAGAAATACCCCACAATCAGGTGCCCCACAAAGGCCCTGATGTGAGAAGGTGTGTGTCTGTGTGTGTGTGTTTGTATGCCCTTGTCTAGTAATCTATTAAAAACCAAACCGAGGACACACATGAGAACTGTACATTCACTTAGAGGACATAAAGCAGACCCAACGTCCTTAGTATCTTAACCAATGCAAATATTTTTAATTGTATGCCTTACGGGATAGGGATAGGTCCTCGGTTGTACAGAAAAAGGGTATGTTTTTGGATATGAAGTTAGATACATATGAGTCCTTGATTCTCACCAGAAACGGTGTGCGTTCGGAATAGTATACTTACTAAAAACATTGTTCTAACTGGATACCTTGCATTCAAAACTTCAAACAAAATGTGTGGCTTTTACAATTCAAAGGGTAATGAACATTCAATAACTTCTGGCCGAGGGAACCAAATTTTACAATTATCCACGACAATGACAAAGCAAAGACTTGACGAAATATTTTGTTAAAGCTAAGAATATGAAAGAAAGAAAGAAATTCAGGAAATAGAGAAAAAAGTAAATACCTTAGTATATATATTTAAAGAAAGAGATAAATGTATAAGCATGTATCTAAAAAGGAACACTACAGTCCCGACTCCCTAAAGATAATGATTAGATAGTAGAACTTGAGCAAAATCCGCACACAAGCCATCACACATCAATTTGAATGAAGTTCGTTTTTGCCCTTCAAACTAGGCGATGATGTATTGATTTTGGGTGTATAATCACATTTGTGGACGCTGTTAAAAGTGTATGAATGACAATTTAATGAACGATGGAACGAGCAAAATTATTGAAAACAAGAGAGAGAGAGAGAGAGAAAGAAAAGGGGAAGGGGGAGGGGGTGATATAAGGAATAGTGCTGGTCTGCCTTTGAATGTTATGTTTTGAACAAGAGATTGCGCTCGTGATAACTATTGTTTGAGCTATTAGCAGGTACTCTCGAAATTGATGATAAGGACGTAATTACGACGCCAACTCTAAATGTGTCCAGAAAATCAGGGGAAGCCCCTGACGACATGGTTGAAAACTAATCATTTACAATCGTTGTTATACAGAACAATGTTTTTGTAAGGGGAACAATGGCGCTTAAGGCGATGCATTTTAAACAGCTGGAATGGGTCGCAATTGGTTTCAATGGAGACCTACATTCATCAGTAAAAAAGCGGGAGTACAGAGCGATATTTGATGTTTCTTCATAATATCATTTCAGGGCAAATAAAAGAGAATACATCTAAAAAAAAATCAATCCAAAGAAATGCCCAAGGTGCATACAAGTATATAACAAAAGGCAAACCTACTACATACAATATTGAATGGATCAAGATGAGTAACTGAAAGAATTGGACATCAAAGACAAAGACGAATGCATTAAGTTTGATTACATTACGAAAATAGCCTTTGCCACTGGTACTATACTTCTCTCCTTTTGACCACAGATTTTCAATTTAGCCTTAAAATGGCAGGATTCATATGTTTTGTAAAGCCATGTATATTTTATGGGGAGAATGATAGCAACATTTTCACATTCTAAGATAATGGTAAATGCTCATTATCTCAGGTTATAGATACTAATTTAATTGCTGTTATATTGTTTTTGAAAATCTTTAAAAATAATCTAAGATAAGCAACTGTAATCTGTTTGTAATCATCATAGTTCTAAGCTGGCATTACTGGCGTTGATAAAATGTTACGAACATTCATTTTATTTCGTGCATGCACATAGCAGTTCTTTTGTTATGCATCCTTAATAAACTTTTATTCAATTGTCATTTAGATATTAGAGGTGTTGAAATGATTTTAACAAACACAAAATTATGGCTATTATTATTATTATTTGTTAGGCAAATCATAAAAGCACAATACAATTACATTTTGACGGATCATGCAATACATAAACCATACAAGAGGATAGGGGAGGGAGCAACGTGTGGGACAGGGCTCACAAAAGTGAAATTTAACACTATTACCCGGAGGCATGTGAGCCCTCACATGTTCCTCCTAAATCAACTTAGATATAGGCATAACATTGACATATACGCACAATATTGCACATTGTTAAAGTAAAAATACATCTGAACCCCCCCCCCCCCTCCCTCCAAAAACCAAAACTAAAATGACATATTTATTACATATCGCATATTCCTACAAATAAGGATATCATTTAGATGTACCAAGGAAGATATAATCATTATGATACAAGCAGCATTATATGAAAGTAATGAGGAATTAAAGAGTAAGGGAAGCTGGTATATGTTTATGGGATGACAAATGTGATGCTTGGCAGCCCATGAAGCAGTTGACTAAACCCACCCACTTGCATTAAGACTAGACATGTTCAGCCGTTATGTATGCATGTCTTTTCTTCCCTCTTGTATCTTATCATTTCAATTTGAACATACTTAGTGGTGACTACTCTGATCACTATTTTAAAGTATACTATTATATTCAGGAAAGTTTACGAAAGTGAACTGTGTCTCTCGTGAATATCGTTCCACGGTTACTGATGTGTACTGAGTAAGACAAGAAAGAAGAAAAGAATATACAATTACCTACTGAAACATTTTTTTCAACAGAGTTATCAATAAATTGTGATTTATGTGATAGCCAGTGATCCCTTTTTAATTGATAAATTGGCGAGAAAGGTGGAAAGAGAAGAGAGATAAAGTGCAAGAGAGGGGAGAAAGGGAGGGAAAAGACAAGAGAGCACAAGAAAGAAAGAAAGAGAGGAAGAAAAGTGAGAAAGAGAAGAGAAGGAGGGAAGGTATGTGAAAGAGAGAGAGAGAGTGAGAGAGAGAAAGAAAGAGAGAAAGAGAGAGAGAGACTGAGAAAGAAAAAGGGGTGGGGTCGATGTTACCAGGGAGGTGAGACAGTCTCACCTCCCCGATGTTACTTGTAACCTCCCCTTTAGTGTAATGTTTTTAACATGAGATGGCGCTCCAGCAAACCAGGGGAAGTCCCTTCAGACTGTATCAAAAATGGTGGCATGGTGGGGAAATAGTTATCTGGGACCATTGTTATTTACTAGACCACTAATTTTGGTGTGCGAGAAAGGAGTATTATTGGCGCTTTAGGTGATGCAATATACAGCTGGAGTGGGTTCTACTTGATTGTCATGGATACCTACATTCATCAGACAAAGCGGCTGTAGTAGACAGCAATATTTGATCATGTTTCATCCTAGTCTCATTACAGGGCAAATAAAAGAAAGTCCATCAGGAAAAGTCTATCCCAAGAAATGCTCAAAATGCATAACACTAAAAAACAGAAACGAAATTTAAGAAATTTCATAATGCAAATCTATTTCATATAATATTGAATGAATCACAATTACAAAAATATGGACATGAACTGAAAGAATTGACGTAAGGTTAAGTATGTAAAGACGCAGTTATCGAAGATGCATGCATTTGATTTGGTTGCGTTGCGCAAATGGCCCATTCCACGGGTCTTTATACTTTCCTCTTGTTGAACACAGATGTTTAATTTGATTAAAGTATCCAATACCGTTTCCCAGACAATACAAAACAATACGTAGGATTTATCCGCGAATTTTTTTCAAAGGAATTTTTTTTTCTTCAAATGAATTCATGTGAAACACATTAGATGACGTACGTATAACACTGCGTGTTCATTGGAATATTGTGTTTCAAGAACTTCCTCTTCCAAAGCAGGTTCTACTCTCACGAATATCGGTTGCAAACAGAAATGCTTATAGGAATTCAACTCCGACATACATACGTACACCGAAATGGCCGTAAGTTTGTATTCAACCCTGTCTTTACTGTTTATTGTTATAAGCAGTCCCTGTTTGGCGATCTATACTATTTCAGGTAAGTTTGTACAAAATGTGTTTTTTCTCGCAGATCGAATTATATTAATTTGTAGCATTTACAGCAAAGCATAAAGGAATAGATTCTTTGGTATAACATTGGATGCAGATATAAGGAAGTGCAGGGTACATGTCTATTGCATGCTCTCACTGTTTGGTGTGTAAATCCTCAATGCTTTGTATTGAAGGAAATATTTAGTTTTCTTTTTTCTCAAGGGGAGAGAGAGAGGTTTACTACTTAGCTTGTAAATAAACTGCATTATACCTTTTCATTTTATTATTGTCACTATCTACATTGTACATGTATATATATACTTTGTGTTTTAATAATAGTTGGTTCATTGTTCATGTTTGTACTTTCATACACTGTATACCTATTATCGTTTGTATATTTTATCATCTACATGTATGTATAATTTATAAGAATTGTATTCATAAGTCATGCATTGCTATTCATATTTTTATGTTTGTTTGTACTCTCATACCCCGAGATGGGGTCAAAGAGTCAATAAAATTCTACAAATTCTACAAATTTGCCTTACTCCTATAAGCGTGCTTAAGTAAGATATCCATGACATTCAATGTTCAATAGCTGTTTAGAAGTTGTGTTTCATCGGTCCTTTACTTGAGGCGACAAAGGCCTACACGTAGCTAGGCATATCCGGTACGGAAATTCTGTTGATTATCAGGGGCGGCGATTTTTTTTTGTCGTGGCTGGGGGCGTGGAGGGTCAACACGGGGGGGGGGGGGCTTTTTGATTTGGCATATTATTATCATTATTATCATCGGTAGCATATTATTATGTTTGTCCTTGTTACAAGAACAAATGAAAATGAATGTTTGATGTTGGATATTGTTACCACTCTTCTTAATCTCCTTTTAAGGATACTGTTTATATTGATGAATTTTTAGAAGTCACGGAAAAGAGTGAATAATAGACATATCGATATCAGGAATTCCATTATCTGGACTTGTAGGAAAATGTAATTAAATGAACGGATGCAACCCCGTTAAAAAAACTTTGTTCGGTCTTGTCAATGACTGATTCCTAGTGATGGCCCTGTCTTCCCTGAGGCTCTGCCATTATTAATACCCCAGCATTACCAGTTAGCCATTTAATACCCCTGGGTCGAGAGGGAATGTGGGCAAAACACACTAAGGACATAAGAACGAAGTATTAGTATACAAACGCACAAATACACAAACAACTTTATGAATAGAATAATCTCAATAATATTTGCAGACTACAGATTGATCACCAAAGATCGACACAATGCCGGCATCGTTGAGGTTTTCAACCAGGACATCGGATGGGGGCTCGTTTGTCAAAACAATTGGAATTTCGAACTAGCGAGCTTAGTTTGTAGTCAGCTAAACTTCCCAGGAACTTCTCGTGATCTTACGGCATTGGATTTCAACGAGGAGGAAGATGAGTGGCCGATGTCAGTTACTAATTATACATCAACATATTTTACAGACTGTTCAGTCAGTAAGTGTAATAATAAACCCGAACAGTACTGATTGAAAAATAGATTATACAATAACAACAACTGTTTTCTGCATATGCTTTATATGTTTCCTATATTGTACATGTTGTATATGTATTGTACACCCTGCCAGTGACACAATTGTCTATTGTATACTACATTGTGTTATGGACCAAGGTTCAAATGTTTTTACTTCTTTTTTATTACGCTGCATAAAGATGATACATATATGTATATAATGAAAATAATAACATTAATATTAATAATAAAAATAATAAAAATAATGATAGTAATAATGTAAATAATACAAAGAAAACAGGTAATACCAATACCCTCACTAATACTAATACTACAAATAATGATAATAATAATAATAATGATATGAATTATTATAATAGTACTGATGAAAATAATGATAACAATAATGATAATAATAATGATCATAATAATAATAACCCCATACTAACTACGATCTGGTATCCCAAACACCCACATACTCGAATCCCAAACACCAACATACTACAGATGGAAATAGAATTTACTTGAAGGAATTGTAATTAATCCTTTTTTCAGATGGGATGAATATGCGATGTGAAACGTGCAACAGTGAATGTTTCTGTGATCTTTATACATCGATAGGAGCTGTTTCTTGCAAAGGTAACACTGTTGCGATGTTCGCTTATCATTTTTAGTTTACTGTTTAATGTGCATGTATGCTTATAATGTTGTTGGTTTTGATTTTTTTTAAATATTTGTTGTCCACATGATTATTCTTGGCACTGGTAAGTACATTTGTAGTGACGGAATATAATACGAATATTCACATATGGTTGGCTGTCTGTCTTCATAAATAGTTATACTTCATATTCTGTTTTGCGTCTGGCATGTGTAGTTTAACAGGGCTTATCCTGTTCTTACTTTATTTGATTGGTCTGAATAGTATTCTTCAACACCACTCTTTCCGATATCATATTTATGCAGATGATATCCGAAAAATCACTTCATTTGAAACTCACCCAAGCAATGCAGCCACCTTCATCCATAATCTCTATGTTTCTGTACAGGGTGCTAATAATCGGTTAAATTCACATTCAATGAAACTGAATCTTTCAAAATGAGGCCGCCATTCATCTCCAGCCTAACCGCTCACGATGGTGGTCTCCTTCCGTTCTAAATTACCTCTCTAATTTATTGAACAATATTTACTATATATTTCTTATCTTATTCGTATGCTTCGTAATGTTAATTATTTGATATAATTGTATATGATTTCTATTTAATAACTTTAAATTTGTAAACATTTTATTCAATGTATATGTTATTGTTCAAATTCATGTACTATAAACTTGAATTTGTACCTTTTTGAACGCGGAAATAAAATTAAAAAAACAAACAAAATGTAAATTTAAAGTGGATTGTTAAAATACTCAGTTAAAAAGGTATCTTTTACTTATATTGTCCTTGCTGGCCATAATATTACTGTATCTCTTAGTGTCATAACCTCGGTGTGCTCATGACTCAAATTTGAATTGTTTAAAAATAATATCAAAAATCTGTTTAATTCGGCATATAATTGTTTCGGGTTTATGTTCTATCTTATTCATTTTCCTTTGTTTATAATGCAGATGCTTCTTTGTGATATTTTTTTTTTGTGGGGGAGGGGGGGGGGTAACAAGTGCCGATTTCTGACGGAGTCGGTTTCGGATTTGAATTTGCAGTGCGAAGATGGCATTTTGAAGGTTAGGTTATTGTGTCGCAGATGAAAGAACATATCCTGGACTATTAAGAGGAATTTGTTAGAACTATGTATGATCTATGAAAGATAGTGAAGATATGAAGGAAGGAAGAAAGGACTTAAAATGGACCAGAAACGGAAAATTAGTGCCTGGACGGTTATATGCATGAGGAATTTCGAAAATCGAAGAATGTAGTGACCTTGATGATATGTTAGAGACTATGCCTCTGAAATTTGAAAGGAAAAGAACATGAGGAAAGCACCTAACTAAGAATAACAAACATTACGTGCAAAACGAATGCGATTTCCTGACAATAAGGATAAGGAAAATCCGGAGAAGAATATTAATGGGGCAGAATGTGAACGAAAACAAGGCAATGACGATATTCGTAATAGCAATAACACGAGGTTCCATTTGAAATCTAGCTGAATTGTGCGGGAAGTGTTTCATTATTATTGTTTTCATTTATTTCTTTAATTCAGAACCAGGTTATATTGGATGTTTCAGTGATTATAACCGTTTAGGACCCGGCAGAGATCGCGTGCTTTCCAATCGCCCCCGTGACTCTATCGATATTCTCACGATTGACCTGTGCATCAACGCATGCGCAGAGGACGGATACTTCTACGCAGGTGTAGAATGGGGGAACGTATGTTTCTGCGGAGGACAAGATGAAAACCTTGCCAAACATGGAATCGCTTCGGATGGAGAATGTTATTATGTTTGTGCTGGAGATCACCTTGAATCATGTGGGAGTTTAGATTTTATCGCCATCTACCAAGGTAAAGCCAGGAACGATTCGGGAATTAATTTATTTTTCATTTTTATGAGGGTAGGGCACTCTTGGGGAGAGACATAGGGGGCTGGAGAGGGTGTTGAGGGTTCTTGCATTAAACCAAAGAATGAGTTTTACATGTTTTTTCGCGATGGTGCTTTTAACCCCCTCCAAAAAAACACTATAAGAACACTAATAGGTAAAGCTTGTTACGAGGATTTTGACAAGCTAGTTCATCAGAACCCTAGGAATACTTCTGCTAAAAAATTAATGCATTAACTGTCATTTAGAGAAAATAACTTTATTCATTTTCCGCAATACTTTGCCTGTATAAAACCTCAATATTAAATATGAACAAATAAAATAATTTACTTTACAATTCCTGCCAATGAATGGCTTTTAACGAAATTCGATTTTCTCTACTTAAAGAGAAGGTTGAGTTCTGGGAGTTCTGAGTTATGCCACATGTGCGTGATGTAGTCCCATATACACCTTTCTGTCTACAGTGCTTGTAACTTTACCAAGACTGAGCCAAATTTCGTATTATTTTGATGATTCCAGAACCTTGCAGTACACACCAATACTTATGCTAGATGATCAACCTTTTCTAATCGATTCCACATCGTTTCTTTCACAATGCAATCGCATGACCAGAACTCAACTTTATCTTTAAAGTTATTGAGCTTATCCGTTTTCGTTTAGTTGTTTATTGCACATGATTGTTATAATATTCTCAAAATATGCGACATTATTCTTTGTCATTGCTACTTATGTTTCCAAGTTGGCTTAGGTGTTTGTGAAGACCCTGGTACGCCTAATAATGGATTCAGATACAAGGAAATCGGCTCTCTGCGCTACGGCAGCAAGATATACTTTAACTGCTCCGACGGGTACACATTAGAAGGACCTGGCGTCATCCAGTGCGTGCAGATGTACGGTCGCAGAGAAGATGTTAGTATTGCTAACAGCACCCATGTCGTTATGTGGAACCATGTTCTCCCAAAGTGTACAGGCAAGTATTTCCATTATCACTTTGAATGATATTTTGGTTCGCGAAAGGTTTTTTTTATCAATTTCCGGAACCCAAGGCGGACTTGTTTCCGAACACGCCGTTTGACCTAATATTTTATGTTCTTCATACTCTTCAACCATAGAAAATAAAATAGAAGAATGTCTGGTAAACCTGCTAAAGGTTGATTCTACACATTTTAGTTATACAAGAATGATTATGTGAGTGATTGGTACACTTCATTGCCACCATTAATGATGATGATGATGATGATGAAGATAATAATAATTGTTATGTACTCTTAATCAAAAGGTACAGAGATGAATACTCGAGACAGATATTAGCACACGTTTGATAGTCTTGGTATATAAGATCCCAAAGCAAGTTTATTTCGCATGGCGCATGCGTATCTTTACAATTGTGGCTCAATGTATGCCGTCATTAATATGTAACAATAATAATGATACTGCTACTACTAATACTAATTTAGATAACAACAACCACAGCAAGATTAATACAAAATATGATAATAATTCTAATTCAAAACTTTAATTATATCTCATATCACTTTTCAGTCCCTATGCACTTTAATGTTGAGGATTAAGAAATGGATAGAATTGGGCTATATACCAACAATACAATTCAAATTAAATACCAAGTAAACTTATCTTAAAACTACTGGTGAACAAATGAGTTTTCAGTCTATTTTTTGTTGTTGATTGGCCAATATTTACTATTTAAACATCTTTATTTTACCCGTGTATCATGTTTATTTACCATGATGTTCAGGATCCAGTTCGACTACACCCTCTTCTGCGACTACCACGGGCGGAGGGCAAACTAACCCAATGACATTCATTCAGACAACTGACCAAGGGCAGCATAGTGGTAAAAATATAATTATTACGTCACAAGTCCTGTACGATTGTGGTAATATAAATGCAAATGAAAGGGTTACATGCAAATATTTCAGCGATTACTGACGATTTTATCATAAAAAGTGTGAAAAGGAGAATGATGAATTAAAAACAGAAAGGATTATCAGTACATGTATTTCTGGTATTCAATACAACTTTATTTCATGATAGCCTCAATTACCACACATCATATGGGTAAACATAGAGTTAAAGAGAAGGTTGAGTTCTGGGGAGAGGTGAACAACTCGGGCCGGCTGGTTTTAGTGCGTACTATAACCAACATGAAAAAGTCAAACAAAAGCCAACATTGGCATTGGCCAGAATAAAACGTTTAATGTGCTATTTCGTTTTTTCAACGGCTGGTTTAAAATTATCGTATATATTTTAAGGGCCCCATAAGTATTAGAAATTGTTTTATTTATGGATATTTAAGCCGTTTCTGAACCTATTTTGATCAAGCAAAGATGATTTTGTCATTTAAGTTGTATGCTGTTTCAAATTTGACAGTTTTTTTTCATTATCTCACAAAACAATTATTTTTTTGTAACGCCCTCTATACCAAAACTCAACCATCCCTTTAACCTATAGAATACCTGGTAAACCCGTCAAATGTTTATTTTGCACCTTTAAGTAATACAGAAAGGATAATTTAAGTGATTGGTACACTCCAATGTCACCTATAATGATGATGATGCTGTTGGTGATGACGATAATATCAATAATAATAATAATATTCATAATGGTTCCAACAACAACAACAACAATAATGATAATACAAACATTAACAATAATTATGATAAAACTTATGTATATAGCGCATTTAATTAGGTGTGCTATTGAGCCCCTTTACGCTTAGGATTAAAAAACGGATAAAATTCGACAATATACCGAAAGTACAATTCAAGTCATTTACCAAGTAAAGTGATTTAAAAAGTGCTGGTGAAAAAAGTTTTCATTCTGTTTTTCGACCGGCCAATATATATATATATATATATATATATATACACACTGTATAAACATCTTTATTTACCATTGCATCATGTTTATTCACCTTAATATTCAGGATCCAGTTCGACTACATCCTCTTATGTGACTTCCAAGGGCGGAGGGCTCACTAACCGAATGGTAGTTATTGGGACAGCTGGCACAGAGCAGCAGGGTGGTAAATAAATTCTCATTAAGTCACAATTTTCGAGCAATTGTGGTAATATGGATGCAAATGAAATGGTTACATGCAAATATATCAGCGATTACTGACGATCTTATCATAAAAAGTGTGAAAAGGAGAATGGTGAATTAAATAAAGAAAGGATTATCAGTACATGTATTTCTGGTATTTAATAAGCATATATAAGCATACGTAGAGTTGTTACAAAAATTGTAACAACACTTTTAACAATTTCTTGTCTTTTTCCTAGGTCACCAGGTCATCATTTATATCAGTATTGGCATCGTCTCTGGCCTCCTCATCATCAACGCCATCATTGTCGTGGTCGTTATTTGCAAAAGACATAGAAGGTAAAGCTTATTATTATTATTATTATTATTATTATGTCTCTTATTATAGGCTTTTAATGCTGTACATGTTTGTGAGTGTTTTGATGTGCTTACTCGCACCGTGCTGGTTTCGTCTTTTACGTCCAAGACTTGAAAATCAATAAAATTGACCTTTACCCATGCAACAATTTTGTTGTATTTTACGTCCAAGACGTGAATATTAAAATAAAAATTGTTTGGGAGACATGAACCATGTACATGTACACGTAAAGCACGGTAAGCCTTACATGATATGAGTTGGGAGACGTTATCACACTTCTTTTCTTTGGTCGATAAGCGTTTTCGTACATACACACTCTGAAGCTTGAAGTACTCTCCAGGATAGCCCAGACCACAGCTGCAGTGACCAAACTAAAAGTCATCTGGACAGACAAAAACATCGCCATCAGCTCCAAGATCCAGGCCCGTAGCCAGGCGCGTACGCAGGATTTTTTCAAGGGGGGGGGGGTTAACATTTATAAATCGGACCGAAAATTTCGCAACGACTCAGCCAGCCGCGTAATAAACGGGGGGGGGGGGGTGGGGGGGTGAGGGGTAAGAGGACTTTTTTTTTTTGGGGGGGGGGGTCTCAAAATTTGAAAAATTTGACGTTTGGCTCCGTTGGGGGGGGGGGGGGTAAGGTCACCTTTTTAGGTCAGCCATGGGAATATTTTTGTTATTATTTTTTTTAATTTTTTTTTATAATTAAAAAAAATAAAATAAATAATAATCCAAAGGGGGGAGGGGGTGTTAAGGGGGATGATGGGGGGTTTACACATATACAAATACCAAGGGGGGGTTAACCCCCTTACCCCCCCCCCCCACCCCACTCTTTGTACGCGCCTGCCCGTAGCCAAGATCGGTTGAATGTTTTAGACCCCTCCCCAGGACGTCGGTCAACATGTATGTGCCCCCAAAACATCAAACTCTGGCTACGGCCCTGCCAAGATCAGACTGATGCGCTCCCTGGTCATGTCCATATTTTTGTATGCGTGTGAAACGTGGACCATAACAGCTGACATTTGAAGAAGGATACAGGCACTGGAGATGAGATGTTTCCGCAAACTCCTCGGTATCTCGTATAGAAATCACATAACCAATGAGGTAGTGAAAACCAGAATTGAAAACGCTATTTTTTAAAGTAAAAAGACGCGAACTGAAGGTGTACGGGTACATCACACGATTATCTGGACTGGCCAAGACTATCCTACAGGGAACAGTACGGGGAGGAAGACGAAGAGGCAGACAGAAGAAACGATTGGAAGACAACATCAAAGAATTGACTGGCCTTGACTGGAACATCATACGGCGGAAAGCTGAGAACCGCGAGGAAATGAGGAAGCTGGTTGTAAAATCTACAGTGGTGCCCCAACGGTCAGCCAGACTACGGGACAGATGAGATGAGAAGAGATCGTACTATGTTGAGAAGTTATGCACTTTGCCATTTTGGGGAAGAGCTAATAAAAACGTTTAAAAAAGGCGGTATACTTGTACGTGCTTTTGACAGTTCTATACATGGTATTGCGATTTGCGCGAGAACTAGGAATTGGAGACACGAACCATGTACGTGCACACGTAAAGTTCGACATGCCTTACATCATTGTATCAATTGGGAGACGTCATCATGTTTTGTTAGGAAGTTTAGCACTTTGCCATTTGGGAAAAAATAACAAAACAGTCTTTAAAAGGCGGCTGGTATACGCACTATTGACAGTTCTACACATATTATTGCAAGTTGCGCAATTCTTCAAATGGGAAACGTGAACCTATTACATTTACATGCACACGTAGAGCACGACGTTCCTTACATCATCGTATGAATTGGGAGACGTTATCATACTATGCTGAGAAGTTATGCACTTTGCCATCTTGGGGAAAAAATAACAAAAACGTGTCAAAAGGTGGTATACGTGCTTGACGGTTTTATACATGGTATTGCTCGAGAACTAGGAATTGGAGACGTGAACCTATTGCATGCACATGTAGACCAAAAAGTACCTTACTTCATGATATAAATTGGAAGACGTTATCATACCTTGTTGGGAAGTAATGAATTTCGCCATTTTCGGGAATTACTAACAAAAACGTTAAAAGAAGGTGGAATACGCGCTATTGACAGTTCTACAAATTTGTGCGAAAACTAGGAGAGAGACACATGAACCAATTACATGGACACTTTTAGAGCACGTATAGAGCATCATCATCAGCATCATCAGTATAGTCCATCATCAACACACGCTATTCGTCAGTGCCATCATCCATCAACAACATCGCCACTCGTCATTAACAACACGCTATTCGTCATTCATTCGTCTTCAATTTTCGTTTCGTCGTTTGAAGGGTTGACTCTTATCTACGACATCGCGGCTTTTGCTTTTTCCGACGTCGTCGGAAGTCGTCGGAAACGTGACTTTCCTTTTCCACATCTTCGACATCATCAACATCAATAATAGCATCATAATATTACTACTGCTACTGGTAGTAATAAGAGTAATACTAATGATCATGGTTGATACAGGGCTTTCAGTTTCTAGAAAATACAACGCTATACCTCACTAATAATATTTCTTTCCTTTATTTCAGACGCTCTAACATCGCTCTAAGGCAGTCAGTCTGTGACAGGGAGGGCCAGGAACTCGATGCCTACACGTCGTTATATACAACAACTATGAAACAACCAGCCTACGAGGACATCAAAGCAACTAGACACGGAAATAGAGGCCACACAAATGCAATCGAGGGGGTAGAATATGAATATCAAACAATAGTTGAACATACCTACACATCCTTAGATGCAACAACTATGGAGCAACCAGCCTACGATGACACCATAGCAACTACACGCGGAGATAGAGGCCAAATGAATGCAATCGAGGGGGTAGAATATGGAAATCAAAGAATAGTTCAGCAAACAGCTAGAGTCAAGAAATCAAACTTGGGAGTGGCCGATGAGAATACTGAGCCGGTATACGAGATGCTGAATTAAAATTGATTCCATGAAGTAGGACACAGAACGAGTTTTAAGAACAGTCATACCTGTCTAGAAAGGTCACTCAATGTAAAAAATAAAAAAAATGGCCACTAGCTGCAGATAGCTTCTACAACACACTTTTCTGTTTCTAGGGAGACAAAATACATAGCCAATAGCCCAATACATAACAGACAGGGAGCCTTAATGGAGAGGTGGCCACGAAGACAAGTTTGACACTCTAGCACGAGCTCTAAATGAAGTTAATAATGTAGCGAGTTTGTCAAAATATTATAGGCCGTTACTTGGGAATCTTTGTCGTTGTTGTTGTTCATTGTTTTCATTCTTTTTATAATGAATAGTATATAGGGAGCGCTAGGCCTGTAAAATATCAAGGTTTCGGAAAGGATAGGGATTACAACTGCGATAAACAAGTGTGGGATTAGTTTTATTAGTACTGATCTTGAAAGAGGGAGTTTGATTGTATATGTGTCATTACTGTTTATGTGGGAGTGTCGTGGTCGAGTGGTTTAAGGCGCTTGACTTGGAGATGCGAAGGTCGAGGGTTCGAATCCCGACACGGCACTAATATCCTTTGTCAAGATAATAACCTGCACTTGCTACTCTCCACCCAGGTGTTAAATGGGTACGGTAGGATGCGACCGTCATTGTTGGTCAAACAGTTTTTGAGCGTCATGTAACGCCTGGCTGGAATGCTCCCCAGGGAGTGGAGATTGTGCACACATCGTGTGCAGGCAAGCACTGAATCCAATGACCGGTGTAATAGTATATTTGTAAAGCGCTTAGAGACATTTGTATTAAGCGCTATATAAAAATTAAATATTATTATTATTATCATTATATAGCCAAAGCGAAATTGCACTTTAATGTCATGCAATGTCACGTCACTCGCTACTTCCCTCGCTGCGCTGTTGGTTCTCGCATCGAGTCCTCCGTCCGCTTTATGTGAATTGGATATTTGGTAAGTTGACCATGAGGTGGCAATAAACAGCAGGCTGGGGCAGAAAGTTAATCAGTTCATGTCGCTTTTATATTTTGAGATGGTCCTTACACGTATAGTATAGTAATATAGTATAAGTATATTTGAATCAAATGCAGGTGTTCTTTCTAGTAGTATACCGATGGTGATATTAGTCTACTATATCTAATCATGTCATAACAAAATAAAAAGTCTCTATAGTCTATTTTGGGGGTGCCAAGATTTTTGTAAAATGTATAAGTTGGCGTCCCTGACTAAATATTAATCCAGGCCTATTTTTGGGAGAGTAGAATAATTACAATATTGATACTAATGGCAAGTTTACCTTCATGAAATACAAATGCACTTTGTAGTAGTATGCAGATGTTCATATTAATTTACTATTACTATTAATATTGATGTCCAAAAAAATCCTGTCTATGTTGTTATAGTTTTGATCACAATGCTGATTATACTTAGCTTTTGAACGATATTATATCTTATTAATTTTATCTTTTTATGTATTCTCCTACGCTTAATGTAATAATTGTTTTAATATTGCTACTTTGTTCATGTGCTTTTATTTTAAACTGAATGTAATTCAGCTCGTGGGCGGATAATTTCAGTATTTGTAATAAACCATTCAATGAACTTGAAAAACAAACAAACACTTGTTTGGGAGACCAAGATTCTTGTTAAGATTTCATTTCAGGGTAATTAAATTCAACTTCTTTAGAAGCGTTCAGGGACTTTATCTCGTAATGTGATATACCCTTTTCAAGAACGGTTTATCATTATTTCTCTTATTGTCATTATTTGTTATCATAATAATAATTGTTATTATCATCCTTAAAATCAGTGTTCTCATTATTATCCTTACAATTATTTTTATTAATACTTTAATATTGTTATTTTTATATTATCATTATTATTATTCTAAATTCCCCGACATATTAATGAGAAATGAAAAGGGGCAATTAAAATGGCACTAATTAGAAAGGATAAGGGAGCAAGTGTCAAAATGAAAAGGGGCACTAATCAAAGATAAAAAGGGGCACTTATTATAAAGTCAAAGGGAACACCTCTCAGATTCGAATAAGGTCACTCAGCGAGGATTAAAAAAAAGGGTTTTTGTGAGAAAGGGAAGCGACTCTTGTTAAAAAAAGAAGGGGCATTTATCAGAAGTAAAAGAAAAAGGAACTTATTAGAAAGAAAAGGAGGGAATGTGTCAAAATAAAAAGGTATCATTCATCAGAGGAGAGAAGGGGCACTCATCCAATATGAAAAGGGGTCCTTAACCGAAGGGGGTAGAGGCACTTATTACAAAAGAAAAGGGCATTTGTTAAAGTACATTGGGCATCTCTCAGACGTGACAAGGGGCACTTATCAGAGGCGGTAAGAGGCACTTATAATAAGAAGAACGGGCACCTCTAAGAAATAAAAAGGGCACTTATCTTAAGTAAAAGGGGACACCATTCCTATGTAAAAAGGGACACTGTATAGATACTTAAAAAGGTAGGGGCACTGTGCCCATCCACCCCTCTGCCTACTGGCTCCGCCGGCACTTGATGATGAAGATGCATGGTGATGGTGGTGGTGATAGCAGTGGCGGTGCCGGTGGTGGTGGTGATGATGATGATATTGATGGTGGTGGTGGTGGCCTGTGGGAATGGTGATAATGATGACGGTGAAATGATCATGAAGATGACGAAGATGTTGGTAGTTATGATTATGACCAGGCGCGTACGCAGACGGGGGGGCGGTGGGATTAAGGATTAACCCCCCTCAAATTTGTTTAATGTTCTGGTATCAGAGGATAAGCCGACCCTTACTTTTTGTCAAAAAATAATCTTTTAAAAACAAAACAAAACATTGTGTGTGTTTGGGTAAAAAAAAAAAAAAATTGTCCTTACCCCCCCCCCCCACCCCCCCCCCCCCCCCCCCCCCCCCCCCCCCCCCCCATTGAACGAAATATCGGTCGGCCTAATTTCCCAATTTTCGGGACAAAAAAAAAAATCAAACGGATCCGGGCTAACTCGGACCAAAGACAACGCAGCCCAGCTGCAAAAACGGTCATTTTTTGTCATTTTGCACTAACCCTTAAACCCTAACTCTAACCCTTACCCTAAACCTAACCCTAAACCTGCAAAAAACTGACCGTTTTTGCAACTGGGCTGAGTTGTCTTTGGTCCGAGTAAGCCCGTGTTTTTAAAACAGTCGACGGATTGTGCATTATGTAGATTAGAGGGTAAGTTAAACTTTGGCTCCTCTGAGAATTGGTTGAGTGTTGAATCTCTTCAATTTTATTCAATCTCTGTATAAACACGGAACAGGCGTTACAAAAACATGAGAATGTGCATAAACCTTTGACGACTAGCGGAATTCTGTATGAATGGGGAAAACAATGATATAGACATTTGCATAATTCACACTGATGAACATCGGTAAGGAAAAATTAATAAAAAGATGTTGAATTATTAAGAGGAGATAATGGCACTCTAAAAAGGTATTATTTGAAATTGACTGAAAATTGTTTCATTGGCAATCCCATTATCAAAGTTAACGACTAAACAGGGAAATGGAACTCGAGTCATGAAGTGGTCTGCGTGTGCGTTTGTGTGTTTTGTGTGTGTGTGTGTGTGTGTGTGTGTGTGCCTGTCTGCGTGTGTGTTTTTGTGATCTCGTCTAGGTATCGATTTTAAAAAAATATGGAAAAAAAGGTTTAGGGTACCAAACCGAGGACACACATGAGAACTGTACATTCACTTTAATAGTGGACACCAAAAAAAAACCAACGTCCCCAGTTTCTTAACCAATTCAAATGTGTTTAATTTCATGCCCTAAGGGAAAGGGATAGGTCCTCGGTTACACGGAAAATTTCACACATGTGCTTACATTCCTAAAAACGTATGTTGTTGCATATAAAGTATTAAAAATACACATGACTTCTCGATTCTCACCAGAAACGCGTGTGTGTTCGAACACGTATGCCAAATAAAAACACTATTCTAAAAACCAGATACCTTACTTTCAAAACTTCAAACAAAATGTGTGGCACATTAAATTGAAAGAGGTGAGCACTTATTCTATTGCAGTAGGGGCGGTCGATCACTAGAAGGGGCACCTTTTCGCAGGAATACCGGTAAGGAAGGGAAATTATGTGAAAGCCTGAGGAAAAGAAGAGAAGGATGGCGTGTGTGAGAGAAAGAGAGAGAGAGAGAGAGAAAGAAAGAAAGAGAGAGAGATATAGAAGGAGGTGATGTAAGGAAATAGTACTGGTCTGCATTTGAATGTTATGTTTTAAACAAGAGATGGCGCTCGTGATAACTATTTTCTGAGTTATTGGTAGGTACTCTCGAAATCGATGATGAGGACATATTTATGAGGCCAATTCTAAATGGGTCCAGAAAATCAGGGGAAGCCCCTTTTAATCCTATTAAAGATGATGACATGGTTGAAAAATAATCATTTAAATCATTGATATATACTAGATCAATGATTTTGATATGCGAGAAAGAAGGATCAGCGGCGCCTCAAGCGATGCATTTTAAACAGCTGAAATGGGTTGCACTTGAATGGTTGAACACTTAATGGACAATATTCTGAATAGTGTGTACCGGTATTATGTGTACATGTACATTATAATCATTTTAATATGTTGTTTAAGGGATATCGTCTGCTTTGATATTCAAGGACTGGCTGATTCTATAGTGGCTCTCGGGAAATTCATGCGCGCCGAGGGTTGATATAGCAGCGGAGGCAAATTTCCCTTGAGCGTATAAAAACAGCCAGACCTCTCGTAGCAGTCGATATCTCTATGCTATTCTCTTCTTCCAATTTAATGATTTTAAGGCTAGTCTTAATGCCTAACATTCACACAGTTAATTGAAACAGTATTTCTCCTGCGGTTATTAATTTCGTCATTTGTGAATGTGTCTGCGAACATGTGCACCTATATATTTTTGTCTTCCATTCGTATTTCTATACGTACATTCCTGTCATGACTATTACATAAAATTTCTTCATTAATTCGTGTAATATACAGTAGGCTTGTGGGTGCACCATGTGATAGAGAGGATTAAGGAGTCCTGAAAGTGTAAGTTAATCATGTATAGGGTTTAGAGACAATTAACTTTGAGCGCTGTATGAAGGTAAATTATAAATTAATTTATTAGTTTCTCTTTTGTGTGCACATTAACCAAGATTAATTCAGGATCAGTGAGTAATTTAATGATAAACTTGGGTGTCCTTTTTCAGGGACATCGTGAACAATGAAGTTTATGCTTTAACAAAATTGGTAAATAATACAACACAAATAATCTACAATAAAGTACATTTTTCTGAGTAAAATATAGTGATATCTATTTTGGCCGAGATACTCTAAATTGAGAAGCACGTAAAACTAAATAGACAGTATACAAGTTTACTTCAAGAACACATATATTTTTCATTATTTTACAAAGGGTTAAAGCCAAAAAATTAGTATATTTTGTATCTCCTATTATTTTTACATTATTTATTATCCACTTGTCTCTTTCCGTCAACCATGGCACATGTATGTAAATTGTTCCATGAGATTTGCCAAATCTGTCGGTCAATTAAATCTGGTATCACCGAGGCCACTGGCCCGTCTCTGTGATCTCGTGGTAAAGACATTGTCGTTCTCTGCCAGTGACACGGTTCGATTCCCGGGGGAGACAATTTTGTTCAACCTTTGCAAAGAAATTAAATAAGAGGATAGCAATGGGGACCTTGCATTTAAGTAACGCAACCATTAATATTGAATTTCCGCTCGTTATATACATAATTATATATATCATTTAATGACTAAAAATTATTAAAATGAATTGAAAAATACCCATCGAACCATCATCATCACTATCATACTTTTTTAACAATGAAAAGACCTATTCTCTGAGTAATACACCAAAAAAAAAAATTAATCATCTGATCATAAATAATTCGATAAGGTGCATACAAATGGACATATATGATTTCGTCATTGAAATATAATAAAGATGATAACCATTAACAATCACTTGTTTGCCCCAATATGTGGTGACGGAATATTGGTAATTGCGAAATACTCGGAGAACAGGGATGGGGGGTTCAACCTACACCAAGGCCACTCCTCCCCTGCCTAGTGTACCAATGTAACATCAGGTTCTCTTAATAAGATCTTCTTCTTGCTTAAGAATAAGTGAATAAAAACTCGATTACATTTTTAAAAAATCAAGTAAGAATGAGTGCTGAGCTATAGTTAAAACCTCAACTGTGCCATTGGCCTTTGAAAAATTGGTGGTGTAACTAGCATCTACATCATTCCTCTCATTGTGTTTGGTGTCATCCTCTGCATCCTTAGGGAGACTGGCGGCAACATCATTGTTGGTGTAATCAACCTGATCATCATTAACAAGTTAGCCCCCATTTCTTACGGATGTGAGGCTTCCGGACGCAGTAGAGTAGAAAGATGAAAAATCCTTGGAAGGAGTTCAGGACGACGAAGATTGGCTGAGCCACCTGTTAAACGCAAATGTTTCAGAAATAATAATTAGGTATATGGCATTCTCTGTCATGTTCAAAAGATACTAAACATCTAAAGAGGTAATGCTATTGTGTGTAGTTATCATAACTGAGTTCTCAAGATATTTCTTAGAAGAGATAGATACCGCAATGACTTATTCCTGAAGCTAGTTGGCTTTACCTGACTGAATAACGGGATCAAAAGCAGATATCCGGTGACCCAGGTCAGACCGAGCAGGAGCAAGATGCAGATTGCATTCTGGACGAATTCGATAGCCTCTTGGCGTTCTACCTTAGCCTCTCCTTTCATCCGACCAGCGATGTTGGCAGATCGGATCAATTGTCGAACCACCAGGATGAAGATGACAATGTTGATGAGGAGGATGATGGACATGGGAATCAGGAGACCACCGATTTGAGCCCATAATTGTAGAAAGCAACTGTTGATAGTAAATATGCATTTTATAAAGTGACTGAATTAAGTCAATCAGTACTGACTATCCTAGCCATAGTTATACAAAATGTCCATGGTCCTTGAAACATTTAACTCGCCATTGTAAATGATTTCCCATTATTTATTCTGACAAGTCCAAGCTTTGTCATCCATAAGTTACCAACAACATCAGAGATTGTAATACTCATGAGATACCAATATACCCAATGCCTAAACACTAGAATAGAGTACAGAAACTTCATCTTGCCGAATCCGAATTTTGAAGATCATTAGGTATACCCTAGGCTAGGCAATCCAATGTTCCAGCTTGACTTTCAAACGTTACCACTTACAGGTCATCATGGGCGTAAGAGTCTCTAGCAATAGCTTCAGTAAGAACCACGATAAGTGCAGGAATTCCTGAAATGACATATGTGTTTAAGGAAATACAATGTTTATAGTCATTCCCAATACGCCTAAATTGAACATGTGCCTAGCTCATTCATTTCTCTGTTTCTCTGATAGACCTACTCATGTTATCGCTGTGCTGTCCAGCTCACAAGTTATTACCACGGTTATGGCGACGCTATTATTATTTATACAATAAACTAGATATCCTGATGTTTATACTCTCTGGGGTTTAGGGTCTTCTTTGTACAAACCACATGAAATGCCGAGTACCATTTAATATTAATAATTACAATGAAGAAATTACACATAAATGGCAACAATGACGAATTCATGTGCATTGTTAGATAATGCCTGTCTGACTATAATCCGTCTTAAAATGATCTTTCCATAACTATTGGCTAGTATGGTTAATTGAACATAATACACTACCAGAGTTTTGGAATTATTTTATTCATTAGAAAACAGAGAAAATAAAAATTTCCTGTGTTAAATTAATAGTTAAAGAATTACGTTTGATCGCCCATTCATTATTTTTTTTATTGCTGAGAGTTGGTTGCAGCATAGCAGGTTGCCGCACCTTGCCAAACTCATTGTTATGCTAATACTGTCAGTACCTACATCTACCCTGTTGGTCATAATGGTGGAATAATTTTGTTCACCCCAATTTATGGAATCATTTTGACAATGATTTATTCCTGATAGATCTAGATAACAGTATATACAATCTTGGATTTCATTGAATAACATTTTGCGAGTGTTTTTTTTTTTTGCGTGACTGCTATATAAAGCATGCTTATCAACTAGGGGACCTACGTCCTTAAGTCATAAATAACAGTAAAGAGGATTAATGCCTCACAAAAGGGCACTAATATAGCACATCGACACAGTTTTGATCCTGGGGACTCACAGTAACGAGGCCATTACGTTGCCACTGAATCATGAATGTACGCTACAGGGGCTAGGGTAGGGGGTAGCCCCCACAAATAATATTTGTTTAAAGAAATGCCATGAATTATCAATAATTCATTGCATTTTCTCACGGTCCCCAACAGAAACAAAAATCCTCTGAGTGCCCATGCCTTGAACCATAATGCATGGCCGTGCAAAGGATTTTTTCCTGTTAGGGACCGGGGTGGATGCAATAAATTATTGATAATTTATTGGAACGGAAAGAAATATCTTACCCCACGCAGCGAAGAAAGCCTTGATCATGAAATTCTGGATGTAGGTGTTAAAGATCTTCACAATCATGAGGTAGGTATTGTACCCTTCCACACCCATCCATGCAATGGAAGACAAAACAAAGTAGTGAACTAGAGCCGTCAGTAACCCACAGGGTCCAGCCCGGACCTCACGATAATATCTGATAGAATCCAGAGAGATCATGACGACAAATGTTGTGTAGAGACACAGCAAGGTCAGGCACAGACAGATGAAGATCTGACTAGTCTGTTTGGTCCTCAAACCCAAATCCCTATCAAGATTGTAACATTGAAATGAGGTTAGGAAAGCAAAAGCGTCGAAGCTAAAGTGTACCATGCATTTTACAGGCTTGCCATCACTTCATAAGCAACACAGAATAATATAAATGTCAAACAACAGCAACAACAAAGAAAAGAAGGAGATTACGTGATTGTGCTTTACTTATTTATCTCTTCTATTAGTGGGGAAAAAACCATAAGAATGACGACGCGTGCGGAATAAAACTAGTCCGGCTGTAACTATTCACGACGATGTCAAATGGGAAATATACGTACTAAAAAAAAATCGATATAAATACGCTTCCTATTCTATGCAAACAGAACACCATGAGGCAGAGGATGTGATCTACGAAGTTGATAATATATCAATATACGATATCGATATGATATAAACAAATTAATATTGTAACCTATTTATGAACCTCGTCACGCCCTACATCACTAAGCAACTAATGATTTTACGGCAGTTTCTCTTCTCCTTTTTCCCCTCCTCCTCCTCCCCCTTCTCTTTCTCTTTTTATCACGAACTGTACATTGTTGAGAGTAGTTCTCAACTGCCCGGCTATTTCAAACAGAAGTGATACCGAAGAGAACTGTGCTGTAGGTTTACACGTACTTCACAAGTCATTCGATTACGAGATAATTTCATCAAAAAAGGGGGAGGGTATTTACATTTGCATGATTATTTACTAAATTCTATAAATGCATCTTTTTCACAGTTTATGTGATATTCTTTATTCAAATGCTACCAAATAAAATCGAAGATAAAACGACTAGAGTATAGTATGTATTCTGTCTTCTTTGTATTACATTAACAATTGCATGTTTTTTCCAATGAGCTCACTTGTTCCACAGGTAGGTTGCCAATGTGACAAGAAGACTGAAGATAGAAATACAGCATCCAATGTAAGTCAGGATGTTGTATGCCTTGATAAATGAATCCTCCTGTCTATGGATATCCTGTGACATGAAGAAAAAAAATCAGCCCAAACTAAAACTTCTTCGAATGCACAAATGAAACTGATTATTTGCCCAAGAGCTCTCATAAAGTCTATACATAGACCATATTATATTCTCCATCAAAAAATTATTGGCTTGGTTGAGAGCTCGTCACATGACCAGAAATATTTCAACTATTTTAAGGTTGCTCGGAAAAAGTACTATTTGGGAGTACTATTGGGTTAACATTTATAAATCGGGCCGAAAATTTCGCAACGACTCAGCCAGCCGCTGAATAAGCGGGGGGGGGGGGGGGGGGGGGGGGGGGGGGGGGAAGAGGACACTTTCTCCTTTTTTTTTGGTCTCGAAATTTGAAAATTTGACATTTTGCTTTGGGGGGGGTGAGGTCACCTTTTTAGGTCAGCCATGGGGATTTTTTTTTTTTTTTTTTTTTTTTTTTAATAATTAAAAAAAAAAAAAAAAAAGGGGGGGTTTAGGGGGGTTATGGGGGAGGGGGGGTTTACACACAAAAAAATACCAAAGTTTAACCCCCCCCCCCCCCCCCCCCCCCCCCCCCATGTGTACGCGCCTGACTTGGACATGAAATTCTTCATTTTAGTATACTGGTGGAAATCAAATTGTTTTTTCATAGCCTATGACATAAATCTAAAATCACCTTTACGGCTACACTTGGCTGCTGAATGTTGAGCAACCCGCCATCGGCAACCTCCACACGATTGATTTGTTCCTCAAAAGCCTGGACAAATTTACTTATTGCCCCACCTTCTTCCTCTGCGGCTTCAAGTTCCTCCGTTTCTACCTGAGCTACATTGCTCACAATACTCGTTATAGACTCTGTTACCTGTCAATTCAAATACAAAAGAAGAAGATGATTTAAAATATAATAGGAGAAAGTTGCCTAATCTCGGAAATCAAACTGAATGACGATGGGGTATTGAATAACATGATAGCCTTAGCACAGCTATTATTTTAAAGCTGTTACACAACTTCTGGAAGAAGTCAAAAAGATATGAAAGGACAGACCTAAATCTCTATTGGAGCAAATACAATATTATATCAAAAATTCCAAAAAGAGCCTGATACGGGGTTAGGCTCTTGTAAATTCATCATTCATAACTAGTTTAGCTTTCAGGTGTCCAATGTTGTTGAAACCGGTTATGGGATTTACCTCATTCACATCTATTACAATTTCATACATGTATCGGAGGGAAGACATCGTTTTTTTCCCCAAGAGATAATTATCGGGACATAATAAAATTCGTCAACCACATCGCAACTTCATGTTCAATAGGATTGGTCTGGTATCGTGCAGAATACCTCTTCACTAGTCAGATTTTGCTGCACAATGCTAGATGTTATCTCTGCCACAAGATTGATGTCATTTGATGTGATATCTTCGATGTTGGAAGTTACAGATGATACTTGCTGGCTCACTTTACCTGCGTTTTTTTTCACCTACGATTACCTAAAATTTGAGGGGAAATATCATTACAACACGTAAACGTTGATTAAGGTAATATGAAATTAGCGAACATGTCTTCCTTACAATACTGCAATGACACATAACTGGGTTCCTGTTTCCATATACTGTACCATCTTTATTATAATAATAATAATAATTACAGTGCTTATATAGCGCCTAACACTTACTTAATAAGAACTTTACAAACAAATGCTAAGAACTCAAAATCGTCCAATGCATTTGTGAATGGAATGACATTTAAACAATCAGTAGAATTGATCGACCGTGGGCTATTCATTACCTGTTACGCTTGATTTTATACTTTTAAATGTAAAGTAACGATACATTCAAAATAAGAAGTTCTGTAAGAAAGGAACTTGAATATTTTTTGTGTAAAATTGTACACAATAGTTGGTAAAAAATAATGTACCAAATTGGTTGAAATCTACTCAATGATAGATTATTTTATTCTTATCTGCTTTAAAAAGAAAAAATTATCAAACTTTTTTGTTCAGGTTATCATGATCAGTGGTATCTACAATATACTAAACACAATTGCATTACATATGAAAGTTATTAATAAGCCTCTTTTCAACGATCGAAATTTGAAAAGAAAATTCCAAAAACCTTTGCAATTTCGGTGAGAATGTCTGTGACATTTCTAAATGGTCCGCAATTATCCACTGGCTGCCACTGGCTCTTGGTAATACCATCGCCGATACACAGAGCCCGTCCAATAGGTTCATTGGCTGTTCGGTATATTAAAAAAAAGAAAGGAACATACCTTTATATATGATCACCAGAACGCTTGCAAACAATTATTACCATATACGAAGAAAGAAGGAGACATAAATAAAGTAAAGATGTATCGGATATGATTGAAATTTTCTCAAGCTATTCATGACTCTTGAACTATTCAATACGTTCAACAACACGAGCGGGTCTAGAATATCAACTGAGGCCCGAGGGCTGGGTGCTTGGGGTTCCTGCATTTATTTTCTACGTGTCCCTCGCTTAAATTCATTTTTATTAATGAAACAGTTTGGGGGCTTGGATATCTATAGGGAGGTGCTTTTAGACTCCAAGCCCCTATCTAGATCCGCTAGTGTTCAATAATGAAGTGAAAACGCACTACATCTGTTGAACATCATGATATCAAGGCTATTTGGGAAATGATATTGCGAGTAAATGAGTCGTTTTCGGTCGAGCAGTTGCCATTCATCATTAACACTTTACAGGAAAGAAAACGCGGCGGTTTTTTTTTTTTTTTTTTTTTTTTTTCGGTGGATTACCGCGCCATATCTGAACATGCCACTAGGGAAATGATCATATTGATCGTGCTATCCTACCTAATCCCCCGTCTACATCCTCAAATTAAAAATGAATGAAAAATCATCAAAACCAACCTTGAGTAGTGTTGAATGGACATATTCCTGTTGAATTTGCCCATGTTCCGTTCTCACCCACCGGAAATTCGACTTTTTCAAACCGAGGAGATATCCATGAGATATTCTGGCAAAAAGCTTGAATAAAAAGTATTGAAAATAAAATCCCCTTAACAAATCATAATTCCATGTTAGTTGTTACTTTGTTTATCTACTTTAAAGTGGCTTGCTGCAAATTGTGCAGGTATTCTTTTTTCAAAGATGTGTCAAATGCTAGGGATAGTTAAACATGCAGCGAGAAGGCGACTGGTTTAACTATTCAAGGCGCCATAATTTAAGTAGAGAAAGCGAGTTGCGTGTATGAACAACTCGCCAAGGCGCCTTGCTTAAGCCGAGAGATGTCATCTCGTCTTGGCTACTTTCAGCAACTCGCATTCTTGTCTTCTCGGCCTGAAAGCGCTCTGATGAGTTTTATCTATTACGGGCCTTTTAGCATTTTCATCTTAAGCATGAGGCCTTGGTGACTTTAACAACTCGCTTTTGTCGCCTTCTAGGCCCTAGCAAGGCCCATTGGCGAGTTAAACAGATCGCCTTCTCTCTGCACGTTGAAGCTTCCGTACAATTCAGAGAACCTGATCACTATAAACAAGAATGAAAATTAAGAAGTACTTTATTAAATTAAGGGCAGAAAGGCCGCAGAAACACACAAGACCCACGCACAAAAGAGCACACACAAACAAACAAGCACGCACACGAACACACGCACGCCCTCCCCCCCCCCCCACACACACACACGTAAGGGATTTTACAAAACATACTTTCTTCAGAAATAAATGTTGGTACCTTCGAATTCAAGATGAATTCAAGGCTTCTAACAATACGATATTTTTGTCATGCTATGACATTATATTCATTTAAATTGTTGGTGAATTATCCCTTTAACATTGTGATCGAACCATTTTCCCGATACTTATTTTTTAAAGCAACTGTTTAAAACAGGAAATGCAACAGCCGGCTAACTTCCGCTGACATAGCAATATTTTATTCGAAGATATTAAAACAGATAAAGATAGTTTTTAATTAGTTTCACTTTCGACACTTACATAAAATAGTATTGGGAGCACTTCTCTTAAGATTATTTTTTTTAAATAACTGTACGATGTTTAATCACAGTTCAGCCCACCAATTTATGTTGCTTTGTCTAATTAGGATTTTATATGTTACCATAAGAAGAAAAGAAGAGAAGTAGAAGAAGAAGAGGGAAGAAGAAAAACAAAAGTAGGAGGTTGCGAAGAAGAGGGAGATGAAGAAGAAGAAGAGGAAGAAGAAGAAGAAGAAGAAGAGAAAAGGAAGAAAGAATAAATTATAGAGAAAATTGGGAAAAGAAAGGTACACTTTAAACACTTTAAATAAAACGATATTGATCTGATATCAGGCGGCCTGGATTAAGATGTACCAAAAAACACCTTTTTCCCGATGTACCATGAAAACTTGGCGTTTACCAATACCGCGCAGTACACTTATTGTAAATAAAATACAATAGAACCAACGGTTTAAAGATTAAACACTTGACATATAATAAAATGTCAAGAGCTTTCTTTACATTCCTTTCGTGAAAAGATGATGTTTGATATGGATATTCTAAGAGAGTCATACAGGTAAGCGACAAAACAATTTCAACAGCCACCAAAGCAAACGTGTACAACTTTACAAACCCTTGATCTTTAGATGTTATCATAAACAGTGGCGTACGCAGGATTTTTTCAAGGGGCTGGGGGGGGGGGGTTAAAATCGGGCCAAAAATTTCGCAACGACTCAGCCAGCCGCTGAATAAGCGGGGGGGGGGGGCGGGTAAGAGGACATTTTTTTTTTTTTTTTTTTTTTTTTGGGGGGGGGGGGGGTCCTGAATTTTTACATTTTGACCCATCGACATTCCGTTCCGTTGGTCATAAATGTATCATCGTCGCGATGAGTACTTCAAAACTGCTTTAAACTATGACCAATAAATCGAGGAAATGTCTACCAAGGAAACATTTCTGACATGCATGAATAACTTTCAACATAAATCCAACTAACTTCTGATGGCAACGTTCGTGAACTATTTCGCCGGCATTAATCAAAAACATTAAAAACAGAAGAACAACTAAAATGTGTGAGTGTGTATGTCGAAAGTACTGGAACTAATATTAATGCACATAAAATCATTAGAAGTTTTGATGTGACGACATATTTATATGCGTACAATTTTGATGGGCACCATATATTTCGGTAACAAGTGAGTTTTACTCTCAAAGAGGCAGTTCTCAGCGACAAGTTATCTGGGCTTAATTTCGTTTGATTTGATTTACTTCGTTTTTATTATTCCTTTGACCCGTTCTATGTAAAATCCTTCTTCTTCTTCTTCTGATGCTACTTAATCTTCTTCTTATATTATTATTATTATTCTGCTTCTTCTTTACCTTCTTCCTCTACTTCTTCTACTTTTTCTCCGGTTCTTTTCGTCGTCTTCTTCTTCTTCTTCTTCTTCTTCTTCTTCTTCTTCTTCTTCTTCTTTTATGTCCTTCTTCATTTTTTTAAACGGATGTAGAGGGCATGGCTCCCTTGTGCCCCCTCTCCGGAATTGTGACGTAATACAAATCTATTTACCACTCTCCTGCACAGGGTCAGTTGTCTGAATGAATGTCATTGGGTTAGTTATACCTCCGCCCGTGGTAGTCGCAGAAGAGGGAATAGTCGAAGTGAATCCTGAACATCGTGGTAAATAAACATGATGCAAGGGTAAACAAAAATGTGTATATACCGTATAGTTTATATTGGCCAGTCAACAACAACAAAAGAGCCCGAAAGCTCATCAAATGTCCCTTTTGCAGCTAACATCAAATTCTGTAGAACTTTGCAGGAATTTTGCAGTTTAATAGCAGCGTCCTAAATCCTAATACTCAAATTATACTTGCTAGACTTCACTGTCAAACACTATTGAGTGGCTGACAGGCTTTTTTTTTCTTCTTTGGTAATAACATACATAAAATGAGCTGTAAAGGGTACATGAGCATCTGTCTACGTCCATAACCGACATGGCCAAAATTAATCTGATTGAAACTTTGCGCAGCATGAAACGTACCACCATTCGGTACAATGGTCTGAAAATCGAGACTGTTACTTACTGGCTCTATAGCTTTTAAGTCGATTCGACAACTAATAGTCGCTTTTTCCTTTTTTTAGGGAAGTTCTAAATAAGTATTATCTTTCGAATGCCGTTGGAATTTAACTTTTTCATTTTTTGGCCTGCAAATGGGACATAGTACCTTTAACAGGTTTACCAGGCATTCTATACATTCTATTTTAAACGGTTGAAGAGTATGAAGATAATCAAGAATGACATAAAACGGTGTGTAAGGAACCCACGGAGGGACCGCATTCATGTTCCTAAAACCTCCTGTAAAGGGGTATTTTTCACGCAAAAAAGTCCGGCTCGTAATACACACAAAAAATCGGCCCGTGTTGACTTTACACACCGGACTTAGGGGGGTGCTTTCAAAGGAAGGGAATATGCATACGCGTACCCTAAATAAAAGGGGGCGGAACGGAACCTAATCCGCCTAGCTTAAGCTAGGGTCTCAATTATGTAATTTATGTAGGCTAATTCACACCGGGCCATGCGTAGAGTTGCGTAGTGTTGCGTATCGACTACGCCGAGCGTACACTGCCCTACGCAGGCATACGTAACTAAACGCTGAGGGACGCAATGGGGTACGCGGGTACTTTCGGCGTAGACACTATAAGCGAAAAGTACGTATTTTGTACGCAAGTCTACGTAACACTACGCTATAGTACGCCAAGCCTACGCAATAGAGAATCAGTAAAAGCTTGCGGACACAGTAAGCAACCGTACGAAACCCTAAGAAACCTGTACGCCAATTGCATACGCCATAGGTACGCGGTGCCTTTAGGGTACGTAACCATACGCCATCGTATGCCATGAATTCGGTACGCCACACGTCCTACGCAACCCTACGCAAATCCGGTGAGAAAGAGTTTTAGGAAGGAATTGTGCTGTATAAAGCTATGGTCACACTGACCGATTTGTAGCATGGTCGGTCGCCGCTGGAATTTAGGCATCGCACGGCGATTTGTTTTAGATAAGTTGAGCAGGCTGTAGAGCCCCAGCGATGGGTGGTCGGTACATTGTCAAAACTAGGCGAAATTTGGGAGCTTTTCCGCGCGGCGTCCCGGCAGTGACCGACTGATGACCCACCGATTCCCGGGCGTTCTCCTACCCGCTAACGGTTGATTTAAAAGAAATTTTCCGTACCTCCTGCGGCCGGCCGCGCAGGGCTCCGCCGGGAATTTCTCATGGGCAGGCTCATTTTTCCCCACTTGCCCATTGGTTTTCTTGCTTTTTGGGGGCATTTCTTCAGTGAAACAAAGTAAACTTCGGGTAGAAATCTAGCTGTTGTGTCTTGTGGAGCGTGCTGATCGATCATTATCGTTATATGCATGACCGTCGTCGGGTGAGGACGTTCCTTTTATCCGCTCCGCTCCTCCCATAAGCTTACTGTTGTCTCTCTCCAATTCTACGTGCGCATGCACACATGGCGCATAAACAACCAAAACAAAACGCCAGCGTTCAAGCCCAGAAGGGCCCGCCCGGTCGAAGGCCAAGGACCAGCAAGGGTATGGATTGGATTTAGAGCTTCTTGACGAGAGACTGGATATCCATATGAATAAGATGTGGGACAAAATTCATGAAGAGTGTCGTGGACTGGAGAACAGAATTACAACAGAGATGAGACAAATAGAATCCAAAATATCTGATGTCATTGCTTCAGTCACTTTTAACGCAAACAACATAGAGAAAGTGATTAAGGATACAATTCCGACGCTAAGGAAGGAAATGAAGGATGACAAAAAAATGTTGGAGGAGGAAATAGATAGGTTGAACGCGTATAATTGCCGAGAGAACTTGGTATTTATTGGTATACCTGAAGAGGCGTCAGCAGAGGGGCCTGGTGGAGAAGATGTTAAAAAGACCTTGCAAAAGTTCTATAAGGATCATTTGAAGATGGACCCGGAGTTGGTGAAGGAAATGAAATACCAAAGAGTACATCGACTGGCCTCGACTTTGCGGCCGAGGCCAATAAAGGCCCGTTTTGTTTATTACGGAGATAGGGAGCTGATAATGAGCAACGCTAAATATCTAAAAGGCTCAAAGATGTATATATCAGAAGACCTACCAATCCGAATCAGGCAGAAAAGGAAAGCTCAGATGGAAGTTTTGAAAGTGGCAAGAGGAGCCGGAAAACTGGCTTACTTCTCCAGAAACGAGCCTTCGAAGCTCTTCGTAGATAGGGTTTATTTACCCATTGATAAGCAGGCCGAGTTCTTGGAAAAATGCAGAGGACCAAATCCCGGGCAGACCCCCAGGCCGACTTCCA